AGGAGGAGGAGCAGGAGGATGAAGAGGAGGAGGAGGAGGAGGAGGAGGAGGAGGAGGAGGAGGAGGAGGGGGAGGATGGGGAGGAGGGGGAGGGGGGGGAGGAGAGGAGGAGGAGGAGGAGGAGGAGGAGGAGGAGGAGGAGGAGGAGGAGGGGGAGGATTTTTTGACATCAACCGTGGCAACCAAGGGCGACGACCTGAGGGCGTCGCCCCCTGCTACGTATCTGGCCTGGGGCAGGCCAGCGAGCAGTGAAACGAAATGAGGAGGGCAGGCGCGAAAGCCACGGGGCGATTTCCCACAGGAAGGGAGGATCCCCTGTGGCTCTCCGCCTGCCCCCCTGGGCCCACGACCAGAGAAGAATGAGGTCAGGGCGAGACGCACCACACGCGGAGGACGCATGCTGCATCTCCTAGTCTGAGTCGTCAGACTGTTGTGCAGCGGCGGCGACGAGCGAGGCCTCGTCCTCTTCAGGGACGGGGGCAACTCGGTCTCGGCCGAACGCTCCAGCCGACGAGGCTGGCTCGGGCACCTGCTGCACGGCCTGCTGGGAGGGACTCACACCAGGCAAGCCAAACAACGAACAGACTGCTTCCTCTTCCGCATCGCGCGGTCCAAGAGGGAGATATTGTGGGGGCAGCAGCTTCGACGGTACACGACGACTCAGACGAAGGGTCGACGACTCGATCGTGCTGCTGCCCCTGTGGCGGTGCTGACGGAGGAGGATCCACCTCCAGCTCCACGCCAGCTGGGACTGATGCCCCCCCTGCTGCGGTGACTAGCCTCCGAACCAGCTTAGCTGTCCGCAACTCCCTTTCTTGGTCGGTGAGACGCCGAGGCCGCTCCTCTTGCTCCAAGTCTTCATAACAGGGGCCGACCTCAACTGAAACGCTTTTGCGCTTGGGGTGGCGTCCAGCCCCCACAGAACTCCAGGCAGACTTGGCGCCCGCACTCTGTGGTTGACCGTCACACTGTCTAAACAAATTGCGAGGCTGCCCGTGGGAGGAATAGGCATAGCATCGCATACAAATAGTGAGGGCAGCACCATCGGAGCATAGCAAAGCGATGCAGTTGTGCCTGAGGGCTGAAAGCACCGCGAACGTCAGCTTGGAATCTCTAAGGCACTTCCCAGGGGCAGGCGGGTCGAGACCTCCAGGCCGAGAACCGTCGGGGTTCTTCCGCGGTACGCCCTTGGCAACCTTGAGACATTCAATGCGCTGCCAAAACGAAGAGACCCGAGTCCACTGGTGGGACCTCGGCTCTATCTTGGGCCTTGGGGGCTTGGGGACGAGCGGGACCCCTGTCAGGTTGAGCCGAGGCCACTCTGGCATCAGCTCGGTGGAAAGACGCATGACACACTGGGCGATCGAGAGGCATCGCTCAAGCCAAACCACATCCTCGGGGTCGGGTTGCGGGTGGCGGGCTAGCGAGCTTTTGGCAACAACATCAGCAAGGTCATTGCATTGCTTCCACAGCCGCCCCAACTCGGTGAGGTCACTGGATTCTTCAACATGTGCCTTGACCTTAAAAAGGAAACACATCCCCTGGATGCCGAAACAGGCCACGAGTAAACAGCAAGTGCTCTTCTACGTTGTTCTCGGGCGCGAGGTCGGGCGGGGGCAGGAGGGAAAACTTTGGCTTGAAACTGTCAAACACCGCCTGCCTCTTGTCATGGCACGCTGGGCAGAACCAAAGCCGATGAAGCATGGTATCGGGCGCGCCCCCACAAAGCTCGCAGACCGTGCCAACAGCGTACCCTGCTTCAGCTGCTCTGGTCCTAGTCCACGTGGCATTACAAGCCGCAGCCTTGGCACAACCTCGCCGGTACGGCGTGCCCTTCTTGGAGCGGAGCGTAGCTGCCACAACATCATGGCAAACTCGAGCTCCAGGAATATGCGGGAGCAGAGCAGCGCCGTTGGACCTCTCATGGGTCCTCTGAACAGCGGCCTTCAAAAGCTTCTTAAGAAGGGCTGGGGACGTGACCGTGAGCGAAACCTCAGTTCCAAAATCGTCCAACAGGGTACAGTAGTTGGGCATGCTCCAAGAAATCCTCTTCAAGGCCAACTTCATGGCCCCCAGGGGCCCGCGGACCCCGCGCCAGGTTTTGGGGCCCAGGGGAACAGAAAAGCCTTCTCCAAGCGTCCCTCAGCTCAGCCCACGGGATAACGAAGGGAAAGAGCTTGGTTTGGCTGGCCCAAATCTCCTTGGAGTACCTCACGATGGGCGCCACCGCAGGGTACCAGGTCGGGTCCTGGGATAAAATCAGGACAGAGGTCCGTGACCTCATCTTGGCAGGTGGCTGCATTGTACTGGCGGCGGTGACCTGCAATCTGAGCCATCCGAAATCCGAGAGCCCGTGAACCTCAGACCCGAACGTGAGGCTGGGGAGGGGGCCAGCAGCAAAAACTTTGGCAGCGTGCCGCCCAAGGGGCCGCTTGGCTCGCTTGAGCCTCCTGACTTTTTTGTTGAAAACCCGTTTGCGGTCGGAAAACGGTTTTCCCCTACCAGGAAGCCGTCGGGAGGAACTTGGGGCAAAGTCGATGCCCAAGTTGACGGTCCCTTGGATGATGGGCCCCGCGAGGCCGTCGAGACAGCCCCTGACTTGCATGGTGAGCGCGTCCGACGAGGCAACGAGGGAAGCTTTATCAGGATAAATGACCGCCCCCATACCAACCTCGATGGCTTCCCTGAGGTTGGCTGCGGCCTCAGGGAGGTGCCTGACAATCTAGGCATTGGACCCGTTGCAGCTGAGACCGTAATCGTCAATGTAAATGTCGAGCGTGATACTTGGTGGCAGCTGCAACGCGTCGAGAGCAGGAATAGCATTGATGCGCACCATGGTGGTCGCTAGACCACAGCCGGCGACAACGCCGTTGGTGACATGGAACGGGCCGACGACCACGCCGCCAAGAGAAATGAACCTGCCATGCCGATATCCTTGCACAGCAAGCCGAGCTAACTGGACGGGGAACCCATACTGATGGCACCGCTGGAGGAGCGTGCCCAAGTGCACTAACTCGAAACATTTGTAGAGATCCCACAGAACCGTGCAGCTGGCCTGGTTGCTGGCCACAGCTCCTTCAGATAGCAAAGTCTGCCCCCAGACAACATCGACCGCGGAAGAAAACTGGGAACCAGCAAAGTAGCTGCGCTGAAACTTGCTTTCCCACTGGGCCGCATAGGGCCTGCGGCACCGCCCCCAGAGGGGGAGGAGGGGGAGGAGGAGGAGGAGGAGGAGGAGGAGGAGGAGGAGGAGGAGGAGGAGGAGGAGGAGGAGGAGGAGGAGGAGGAGGAGGAGGAGGAGGAGGAGGAGGAAGGAGGAGGAGGGGGGAGGAGGAGGAGGAGGGAGAGGAGGAGGAGGAGGGAGGAGGAGGGGAGGAGGAGGAGGAGAGGAGGGAGAGGAGGGAGGAGGGAGGAGGAGGAGGAGGAGGGGAGGAGGAGGGGAGGAGGAGGAGGAGGAGGGGAGGGGAGGAGGAGGAGGAGGAGGAAGAGGAGAAAGGAGGAGGAGGAGGAGGAGGAGGAGGAGGAGGAGGAGGAGGAGGAAGAAGAAGAAGAAGAAGAAGAGGAGGAGGAGGGAGGAGGAGGAGGAGGAGGAGAGGAGGAGGACGGAGGGAGGGGAGGAGGAGGGAGGAGGAGGGAGGAGGAGGAGGAGGAGGAGGAAACCCCTTTGGAAATGGGGGACCTGCTGGAGAAGAGCAACCGCATATCCCACGCGCCCTGTCGCCCCCACCCAGCGGGGGGTGGCGGATCACCCTGGAGCTGCCGCAGGGGAAGGTGGACGCGCTGGTGGCACAACTGGGCGAGGACTCCGCGCTGCGCCGCAACTGGCACCTGGGCCACGTGGCGTCGGTGGAGCCCGCTGCCGAGCCGCAGCCTGGGTCGCCCAGGGGTAGCCTTCAACAGGCGACCTCCCGGACGCTTCTCACAGCGGCTGCGTTCGACCCCGTGGAGAAGCTGGCGCGACTGCGCGAACTGGAGTCGCGGTTCAGCGAGGTGAGGGAGCGCCGCAGGCGTGCAGAGGAGTCGGCGCAGGTCTTGGAGAGGCTGCCAAAGCCCGGCGACAGCCAGGAGGTCCAGCCGACCCAGGGCCCCTCTTACGAGCAGCTGGTGGAGCGCATGGCGCAAGGCGGCGGCAGTGATGTCGGGGTCCTCATCCCTGGCGGCGCGCTGGACACCGCCACTGCGGCGTTTCCGCCGCCGGAGGGCCTTCCCTTCCCGCACCGGGGCGTTGCTGGCGTTCTTCCACCTACGGTGGCGCCCCCACCCGAGCGAGAGCCCGATCCCATGGACGCCGCCGCGGACATGGCCTGGCTGGCCGAGATCGTCGACGAGGGCAGGGGTGGAGAGCGGGGGCCGGCGCCGCCAGAGGCTCAGGGGCAACGATGATTAGATGGGGGACTGGCCCAGTGTGGGGAAGCACCGACCCCCAATCGCCCACTGATCGCCAATCGGGGCATGGGCTGCCCACCCAGCCCAGGACCATATGGCTGCGCTTTCGGCGCCCGTCGCTGATCTATCGGCGATGTATCGCCGATTCCAGGCCATTGAACACCTCTGAACCAGTCCTCCTTGTCGAAGGAGGACGAGGACGAGGACGAGGACGAGGACAAGGACGAGGACGAGGACGAGGACGAGGACGAGGAGGAGGAGGAGCAGGAGGAGGAGGAGGAGGAGGAGGAGGAGGAGGAGGAAGGAGAGGAGGAGGGAGGGGGGAGGGAGGGAGGGAGGGAGGGGAGGGAGGGAGGGGAGGAGGAGGAGGAGGACTATGTTTCGGACCATGTTATTCCGGACGGCCCCCGGGGGGTCCCCGAGGGGCCGGGCGACTCCCCGGCGCGGGAAAACATCCGCCCCCTGGGCCTTCGGCTCCCGCGCCTTGGGGAGCCGCGGGCGCCGCTGCCCCAGGGGGTACCTTTCACGGGGGAGCGCGGCGCCCCCGTCCGCCAAGGGGTGTGGGATGGGCGCGTCCGGTCCCCCCGCAACGCCTCAGCCGCGGGTCCGTGTGGCCGCGAGGGGGGCGGCCCCCTCCCACGGCACCATCTCCCACCCAGGGTTCCCCCTGCGAAGAACAGCGCGAAGAACAGCTCCCCCTGCGAAGAACAGCGCGGGGGAGGAGGCGACCATCCTCCGCGGCACCGTCGGGGCGCTACCGTCCGCGCCCCGCGTGGCCGAGTTCGGCCGGAACTCGGCCACGCGCCGGGCGGGCGGCGGCGCCCTCCCCCCCGCGCGCCGGCACCCCAGCGGCACCCCCCCGAGCCCCCTACGAGAAGAGGAAAAGGGGGGGAAGGTGGGGGGTGGGCGGCCCTCCACTGGGGCCCGCTGCCCCGCCAGCGCTCCCGTCCGCGCCCCGCGTGGCCGAGTTCGGCCGGGTGCGCCGCGCGGGCGGCGGCGTCCTCCCACCAGCGAGCCGGCCCCTCATCGGCCATCCCCCCGAGCCCCCCACGAAAAGAACCAAGGGGGGGGGAGGAGGGGAGAGGGCGACCAGCCACTGGGGCCCGCGGCCCCGTCAGCGCCCCCGTCCGCGCCTCACGTGGCCGAGTTGGGCCGGAACTCGGCCGCGCGCCGCGCGAGCGGTGGCGCCCTCCCCCCAGCGCGCCGGCCCCCCAGCGGCCCCCAGACGCGGGGCAGCCGAGCCACGCGCCGCCGGGGTCAGCCGTGACCCCCGCGATGCGCCTACGACTCCGCCAAGGAGCGTGGAGCACCGCACTTCGGTTACCGCCCACCTCCCCGGCGCCCGCGTGGCCTCGCCTGTCAAGTCCTGCACCTCCCGTCAGGCAGTGAGTGAAGGGGCCAGGCCGCCGCACCCCCCCCCCCCGTCCGAGCCCCGCCTGGCGCCGACAGGGGCGGCCAGGGCTTTGAGAAGCGATACTGAAACTATAATGAAACTATAATACATCCACAACAACAAACAATCAAAACCCAAAAAATACAACAACAACAAAAAACAAGACACACCCACAAACAACACAAAATAAAACACAACCGAAACAAACAAAAACGTCAAAAAAACACGACCCAACCCCCCCCCAAAAAAACACCAAATCAACAAGCAAAACCAAAACAACAACACAACACAAACCACAAAAAAACAAACAAAACCAACCACACACACAAACCAAACCAAGAACAACACACACACACACAACACCAACACCAACAGCAAACAAAACAAAACCCATCAACCAAACATCAACAAACCACCCCAAACCAAAAACACACCAACCCTATCAACCACACATCAACCACATCGACTAAACAAACCACCAACCACATCAAGCGAAATCAAACCAACCACATCACATGAAATCACCAATTCACATCAACCAACCGAAAAATAAAATCACCAACCACATCACATGACATCACCAACCACATCAAACAACTGAAAAAATTGACATCACCAACCACATCAAACGATATGAAACCAAAAGCACGCACATGCAAAACGAAAGCGGCCAAACACACGCCATGCCGATGCGCCGCTGACGTTGTCGCCATCGAAGCGGAGAAAGGGAGGGAACATGATGAGGATGAGTGAATATTAGTTGTACGATGATGGTTTTCGATGCTTATGTTAATGATGATGAAGTGCTTGTAATGATGATGATGGCGACGATGACGATGATGATAGTTATGGCGGCGATGCTCAGTGCCATCATGATGATGAGTTGGATGAGGATGATATGGCGAGCGTGCTCGCCAAGGTTCGTGCCGATATGGCGAGCAGTGAGGATGAGAGTTGCGGAATGGAGGCTGATATGGCGAGCATGCTCGCCAAGGTTCGTGCCGATATGGCGAGCATGCTCGCCAAGGTTCGTCTGCCTCTGCTCATCGTCCCCCCCAGCCTCAGCATGATCATCATCAGCAGCATCGCCGTCGCCAACATCTGCGTCGCTATCGGTGCGCGCGCTCTTTAACACGCACTTATACATAGTGAGGCACGCGGTGGCGGCGAGGCCCCAGCTCGCTACGTGCCTCAAATGAAGTACTCGCGGGGCCCCATGGCGCCCGCGGAGCATTTGCAACCGCGCCTCGACCTGGAGCCCCCCGACGGCACGATGGCGAGCCAGCTGGCGAGCGGTGCGTGCTTTGCACGCGCCGTTCGCCGAGTACAAGCTCCGCCAGGACGAGGGCCCGAATTCGGGTGAACCTCGCCGAGCGGACGAAGCAGACCTGAGCGCGACGCTCCCCGCCCCCCTCCATACCACATGTGCGAACATGGTGTGGGAGCAAAGCTCTACTGCAACATGCATGCCTGCCCTCTCCGCCGAGCAAAGCTCGCGCAATGCCGCCTCCATAAATCGTCACCCGCCACTCCTTCCCCTTATCCCTCCCCCATATACCCGCGGGGCGCCGCATTCAGGTCCACCTCATCCGCTTGGCGAGGTTCACCTTCGGGTCTTCGCCCCTGCAGAGCTGCAGGTGCTCGGCGAAGGGCGCGTGCAACGCGCGCGACGCGCCCGCCAGCTGGTCCGCCATCGCGCCGCCGAGGAAGTCCCCGATCAAGCGTGGCGCCAAGTGCTCCGCGGGCGCCATGGCGCCCCACGGGTACTTCAGCCGCGCGATCTTCGCGAGCTTCTCATCGCTCGCGGCGCCAGCTCCCCAAGCGGCGGGGCGGCGCGCCAGGCGAGGGGCCATGGCGGGCGAAGCCTGCCTCGAACGGGGGGGGGGGGGGATGAACGCAAACGCGCCTAGCCCCGAGCACGACGAGGCGGCGAATGCATCCAAAATCAAGTCATGTGCGAGGCGCGCTCGCATGCAATCGCATGAGTACAGCACATGTGGCCACATCCGATGTATGACAGCATAACATGCACGCGTACTTGCATCGCGCATCGCGTCATATGCAACCAACGGCCGCACGATTACAACACGTGGTCACACGTGGCAGCACGAGATGGCAGAATGGGCGAGCAACGCTCGCGAGCATGTGTACATGCGCGCACATTTTTCACGGCCGCTTGCGGTCGTCGAGTGGTGCATGCGCCAGGCCTTCGCTATGCGCAATGGCGCGTTGTATGCTCTGGAGCCTCGCGAGCTTCAGAGACGAGTCGCCCTTAAGGGCGACCCACCGCCAGCGCGATAAGGCCTCGTAGTGCATGCGCTGGACGAAGGCCAGGCTCACGCCGTCTACCTCAACGGGTTCATGGGCCTTCCCGAACTCGATGTTGTCCGCCTCTCGGTTCGATCGTTTGCGCGCGACGCGCCGCAGACACCGAGAATGCGCACATGTATCACCGACATGCAAGAAGCCAGCATTTGAGAAGACTGTCGGCGTGCGAAGCACGCCGTGCAAAGTAACAGTCGAGGCAACGATGGCGACGATCCGATGGAAGGTCGATGGGCGATCGGCGGGTTGATATCGGAAGCGGTTACACAGCATGGACGCGTGAAAAGCACGCGATTGGAATCACTGAGGGCGTGCATATCACGCCGCATGGGCAAGGATCATGACGTCGATGGCGGCGACAAGATCGATGGGGAAGGGGTGAAGTGGATGGTCATGCGCGCGAAGCGGTCGAAGGGCCGCGCAGCTGCACCGCTGCGCCACAAGGCGCTCTTATGCTGGCGAGCGCGCGAGCCTGTCGCTCGAGCCACGTTCGCAAGGGACGGCGAGCGGGGACGAGCTTGTCGCTCCAGCCTCGCTCGCAAGTGGCGGCGAGCGGGGGACCTCGCTCCAGCCCCGCTCGCAAGTCGACGTCCCGCCGTCGACGTCATCGTCCCTCGTCGTCGTCCTCCTCCCTCCTCCTGCTCCTGCTCCCCCTCCCCCCCCTCCCCCTCCTCCTCCCCCTCCGACGTCGGCTGGCCCCGCTCAGGGGGCGGGCCCACATGGGCCCGCGCGCTGCCCCGCGGCGGCGCGCGCGGCCGCTTCTGCCTCCAACAGCCTCGCGGGCGGCGCCTTGGGCTGCGGCGCGCCAGGGGGCGGCGGCGGCGGCGCAGCCCGCTGCCCGAAGATGGCCGCCGCCGCCCGATGGCGGGATGCAGCGCGCTGCTGCTGCGCGAGCTCGCGCGCCGCGGCTTGGGCTGCCGCGCCCTCCGCGCGGCGAACCACCCGCGCCTCCGCCTGCAGCTCTCGGAGGTGGAAGCCGCGAGCCCAGTCCTGCAGCTGGCGCTCCTGCAGCGCCTCGCGGAGGTCCTGCAAGCGCTCATCCTCCGCGCGCTCCTCCTCCGCGCGCCCCTCCGCCTGTGGGAGAAGCGGGATGAATATGAATGGGAAGGGGGAGGGGGATGAATGAGAAGAGTTCAGGGGAGGACGTCCGAGGAGGAGGTTGGGAGGAGCGAGCGATGCTCACAAGGAGAAGGACAAGCGCCTGCGCCATGAACGGCGGCGCCTGCAGCCCGTGCACGCGGACGACCGCCTCCAGGCGCTC